AAAAAAAAAAAAAAAAAAAAAAAAAAAAATCCTCTCAACTCAGCAAATTATTGTTGAGGACAGAGCACATGCCAGCCAGGCTGTTTCAAGCCCCGAGAATCTACCCAGGAGCAACAAAACCCCTGTTAAGGTAAATCCAGTTTGACAAATTAAACTAAAAAAAAAAAAAAAGTTAGAAACAGGAGAATCCAGCTTTTTAAAACAGGGGACTGTAAAGTCTCTTCAAAGAGACTATTCTAGTTTCCCACTGCGGCATCTGTTAGGAAAAGCGCTTCCTTTAAGCCTTCAGTTCTTTGAAAACTCGTTCCACAAAGGACGAATCCAAACTCCAAAGTACTGTCGGAGCGGCTTGGGGCGCGGTTGCTACCACTTTCTCTGGCACGTTCGCTCGCCCGACGCGGGGCCTCGCGGCCTGGCGTGCTGAGCGCCGAGTCCCGTGGCCCCGCGCAGGTGGTGCCTCTCCGGTGAGGCCGAGCAGCCGGCCGCGGCGCACCTGGAGCGAGCCCCGAGGCGACGCGGCTCGGGGGAACCGGCTCCTCCGCGCGGCCTCGCCCACTGCAGTGCAATCTGGGTGGTTTTTCCAGCCTCCCCGCCCAGTCCCGGCCCTCCGCGACTCCCAGGGACCAGGAGGCTGGCGCGGAGGCACCGGGGCTGGGGCGGGGCTGCGAGGCGCCCGGGAGGGAGCCCCGGAGAGGGCCCGGGTGGGCCCGGAGGGCGAGCCAGGCCTCCCCTCCGGCCCGGGCTGCCACCCGCCCTGCCCGCTCCCGCGCTCTCGGCTCCCCCTGGGGGTCTAGGGTCCAGTTTCTCCTCATAAGCACCCCCGCCCCGCGCCCCTGAGGGCACCGACGGGTTCCCGCGGCTGCAAGGGTGCGGCGGCCTCTTGTCGCCTCGAGAACACGCAAGGCCGCACACCTGGTGCCGGGCTACAAACGCTTCGGACGGGGATGCGTTTCTCCAGAACACGCCGGTTTGCAACAGAAAACTCGAGGGCGCTACACTTCCGGCGCTTTTCTAAAATAAAAAACGTCAACACGACCTACCTGGCCCCTCGGGGGCTCGTGGCGGGGGCTGGGGTGGTGGCTGTGGCCGCGCAAGAGAGTCAAAAGGCAGGAGCGGAGGGCGTGGGGACGGGCGGGAAATTTAACAGAGGGCTTGTTGGGTCTGATTCAGGAAAACCTTTACCACGCCTGCGGGGCAGATGCATTTTATTTCTTATCCAAGGCAAAAATCACGGTCAACCGTGCCCGGGTCCTGGAGGGCGTTCCGGCCTCGAACCAGCAGCCGGCACGACGAAGACGTAACGGAGTGTTGGCTAGAGAAGGGGCTTTGGGGGTCCCCGGCTGCTGTGAGGGCTGTGCTGGACCCCGGGTTCTGCGGCTGGAGGGGGAGGGCAGTCCTCGCCCCGAGGTGGAGAGGGCGAGGAGCAGGGCCCGCGGGACTCCTTCCTCCTCCCGCTCTCGGTACTGCGAGGTTGTGCTGGGTTCCGCAGTGGCCCCCGCCACCTCGTCGGGCAGCCGTCGGCCGGTCCCGCCTCCCAGGCGCCGCGCCCTGGGCCTCACCTCTGGCCTTCTTCTGCCTCTCCGCGCCTCGGCCTCTCGGGCAACCTCCCGGCTTCTTTCCCCCTCCCCACCCGGCCAAGCCTTCCCTCCAAATCCCTGGGCTCCCCCTTCTCGGCCCTCCCCCGCCGGGCCTGGGCTCCCCACCCGGTGACCACCGGCGCTTCCCCTCCCCTCCCCTCCTCCCCCCTTCCCATTCATCCAGCCTTTGTCTCCCGCCCCCCCCCCCCCCCCCCCCCCCCCCCCCCCCGCCTTGCCCCCCCCCCCCCCCCCCCACCGCTGCCACGTCGTGGTTTGAAGGAGCCAATGGGCGGGCGCCGCCAGGTGTCTCTTACCTGCACCACGTGGGGGAGGGGAGGGGAGAGGGGGCGGGCAGGTAGAGCCACATCCCAAAACAGAAAAAGCCTTCAGCCATTGCGCGCGCCTCCCCCGGGGTGCAGCCCGGCTGGTCGGCTCCCCCCCCTTCCCAGACGCACCGGCAATTGGATACAAAAAGGGCAGGCCCGCGGCTCCCTGCTCCCACCCCCTTCCTGCCCAGGGCGTGGAGCGCCGGCCAGGTGTGGGCCCGAGTGGCAGGGTACCGCCTTTCGCCCCGGCGGCCGCGCGGAGGGGGGTGGGCGCCTCGTCCTCTCTCCTGGAAGAGGGCTCCGGCGGTTCTCCCGTCGTCGCCTCCGACGCCACCTCGCCGCCTCCCGACCCCCCTCCTCCCCTCCCCACCTACCGTCATGACGGCGTCTCCGGATTACTTGGTGGTGCTTTTTGGGATCACCGCCGGGGCCACCGGAGCCAAGCTGGGTTCGGACGAGAAGGAGCTGATCCTGCTGCTGTGGAAAGTCGTGGATTTGGCCAACAAGAAGGTACCTGGCCACGAGTGGGGCAACAACTTCAGAATGGAAGCTTTCTTGCTTTCCTTTTTTTTTTTTTTTTTTTCCTTTTTTTAAGCGTTTGCACGCTTAGGAAGCGCGGCCCCGAGGCCTAGGGAACCCATGTAGAGCCAACCTGTTGGCCAACCCACCTTGGAGCCCTTTAAGCCTCCTGAACCCCGGCCGGGTGGAGAGGCCCCGCGCTGCGCGGCCGCGGGCTCTGCGCGTCGCGGGCCGCCTGTGCCAGGCCGGTGGTTCCTGGGGCGCTAGGGTCCCCCCCCCCGGGGCCTAGGCGGCTTGATCCGGGGAGGGTGGGGGTGGGGCGGAAGACCGCGACCAGATCCCCGGGCGTCTGGGGAGCTTTGATTCTGCTCCCGGGTGCCCGTAGACCCGGGGGAAGCCGGGGAGGAGGAAGACTTTCCAGATTGCAGAAGGGGGGAACTGACCCCTAACTCTGCACCCCTCACTCCCGAGGTGGGACAGTTGCACGAAGTACTAGTTAGACCGGATCAGTTGGAACTGACGGAGGACTGCAAGGAAGAAACGAAAATAGACGCCGAAAGCCTGTCTTCCGCGCCGCAGCTGGACCAAGCCCTCCGACAGGTGACAGTTTTTGGCCGGGCCACGCCGCCCACCCCCCCACCCCGGAGGTCCCCCCCAGATCCGACCCAACCCTAGGGCTCCACGCCCTCGCGGGGGCGGTCTCCGCTCGCTTCTGGGGCGGGGTGGCGAGATTCCCAGCCTTGTGTGTGCGAGGCCGGCTGGGGGCGGGGGAGGGCCGCTCTGGGGGGGCTGCCGCGCTCGAACCCCCGGGGCCCCGAGAGAGGGATTCGCTCGGGTTCCAGCTGCCTCCTCACTAGTCCTTTAAGCGGGAGAATCAGTCGCGTTTTCCCCTTCCGATCGCCCAGCCAAGTTTCAGCGCCAGATCCAGCGCCTAAGCGCAGTACCTGGCGGGTCTGGGGCGGTAGCCCGGCCCCTGGGCAGGAGGCGCTTCGGTGTGGAGCTCAGAATGTCAGTCTCCCGCGCTGGTGGTAGCCCCGGCCCTGGTTTGATTTGCACCTGAATGCCCGCCTGATTTCAGCCGGGGAGTCTCGGCTTCCAAAGGCTTCCTCGTCACTTTTTTTAGTGCCATGATCGGGATCCCAGGGAAGGGCTGCAAGTACAGACCTGTGCGGCTGTTTGTTGGGTCACCGCGGAGCTGGCGGGCTCCCCTGTTGGAATGGAGGTGACCTAAAAACTGGCTGATCTTGGTGCTGACGGTTGCTAGAATCCGGGGTAGGGTGGGTCTCAGACACCTGTGCAGCCGTGCGCGCCTTCCCAGCCTCCGCCTTAACCACACGAGCTTCCAATTAAAGGAATAAGTTCTTTCTGGAGTTATTTTTTTTTTTTTAAAGAAAAGTGATATCCACCCTACATCGTTCCGCTTATTTATTACTCTGTTTGTTTATCGGAAATGGCTGTCTTAAACCTAAAACATCCAAACCTTGGAAAAGCAACATAAAATGATGTAATCTGAAGGCAACCTGCTAAAAGATACCTGATTAGTCTCATACTGGGTATAAATAAGGGCTGCTGGGAAGTGACATCCACCTCTCCGCAACAAAAACCGAAGACTGATTGGAAAGCTCCCTTGCTTAGGGGAAAGGGACAGGCTCGTGGGAAAAGGGATCTTTGTGGTATTGCCTGGGTACCTGTGTCCTGCTTCAGAGTCTTCGGGACAGTTTTGTTTTTTTTCCTGGTTATCTTCAAGGTGGGTCACTCTGACATGCTTGCCAGTTCTGCTTTTGTTGCATCCCTCGTGTGTCTCTTGTTCTTGCAGTTTAACCAGTCAGTGAGCAATGAGCTGAACATTGGGGTAGGGACTTCCTTCTGTCTGTGTACTGATGGGCAGCTCCACGTCAGGCAGATCCTGCATCCCGAGGCTTCCAAGAAGGTAAGACCGCTGGCTTCTGGAAAAGCGGTGTTCCCCGAGAAACAGAAAAACAAGCGGTTTATCCAAATCTGTTTTGGCTTTTCTGGAAGGACAGCTGTACGGTTCATCGAATTATCCTACTTTTAGAGAGGTGGGGGGGGGGGGAGTTAGTTTTCGTTTTGGAAAGGTAGGAAGAATGTTCTGAGTCAGAAGGAGGGTTGGTGACTGCTGCAGATCCTTAGTGACTTTGATGTTTCAAGAGAAGCTGGAGGCTGAGTGTGTAGCTTAGTGTTAGAGCTTAAAAAGGGCAGTTAACATGGTAGCTTTAACATTATGTGTATTTTACTACAATTTTAAAAAATGTAATTTTCATGGAGATGTCTTGGATGGCAGTGATTTATAGGTGTCCTCTGGTGATTTAAAACATTTTTTTCGTTATGTTTTCAGCTTCACACGTGTCCATTTTCCAAAGCTAATACAAGGTTTGGATTTTTGTCACTTAAAGTAGAAAAGCCCGATAATTTACAGCATTGTGACATTTTTCTTATGTGAAATGCTTTGTCCTTCAAAGAGAATCAAAAACCTTCTAAACTTCTAAACCTTTATTGCAGACTGCTTAGTAGCAATTACCAGCATAAGCAGTGAAATGACATTCAGAACACTTCCCTTGAATTTGAAGTAAATGTTTGAAACCGAATTTTAAAATTCTGCTGTATTTACACTTGTATATGTGAATTCTTTGAGACAGGGTCTTATTCTGGAGCCCAGGCTGGCCTCAAATCCATGGCATTCCACTGATATCTGTGCTGGGATTACAGGGGTGCACTAAAACCTTGGATCACTAGGGTTTCCTTTACTAACTTTTCTCATGTGCAAGAACAGAGTCCTACCCCGTCCACCGTTTCTCTCCCGGGGAAGAATATTTTGCGGGACAATGAGGAACATAGACAGCCCACCCGGTATAGCCAATTTGTGCTGATGTAGTTCCTCCTAACAATTCCGATTAGCTGTGTTGTGTGCTGCAGGAGGTGGCACGGAGGTTGGAAACACAGACTGTGTTGAGGGCGCTGTGCGAGGCTCAGAAAGTTGGCAGGTTGAAATAGACCGGCGCGGGCAGGCACAGTTAATGCCGGCTTACTGCCTTCATTCTCTAAAGTGGGGAAGGCTGGTAAGTTAGCTCAGCTATCATCATTTGAAAAGTCTGTTTGCGGGGACTCCCCAGGTCCTTCACCTTGAAGGTTGATTACTCTTTATAGGACTCTTAGTAACCAGTCGATGTCACAGAATGGAGTACTGCCAACCACGCCGTTGCCTAAAGAGTGCAGAGTGTGTGTGGGGTCGCTTCTAACTCCCAGCTCATATAGGAGGGGTCAGGAGTTCATTTCTTCTTTCAGTATTAGCAAGAGAGAAATGGCTTTTTACAGTTGCTCACCTCCTCCCAATTTGTTTTGAGACAGTCTTACAGCCCAGGCTAGCCTTTTCCTCCTCTGCCTCATTTTCTCAAGTGGCAGTCAGTGCCACTATTCCCAGCACAATTTCTTCTATTGTTTTTTAAATGGATTGCTTTGTAGGGGGGAAAAAACTTCTCGGTATATTTTTTTCTTTATCTGCATTGGTGTTTTGCTTGCATGTTTATGTGTGTGAGAGTGTTAGATCCTCCAGAACTGGAGCTACAGACAGCTGTGAGCAGCCATGTAGGTGCTGGGAATTGAACTCCAGAAGATCCTCTAGAAAAGCATCCAGTGAGTGCTCTTAACCTCTGAGCCATCTCTCCAGTCCCCTCCTTTTTTTTTTTTTTTAAGATTTATTTTTATTTATTATTTATGCAGTATTCTACGTGCATGTGTGCCTGCATGCCAGAAGAAGGCACCAGATTTCATTATAGATGGTTGTGAGCCACCATGTGGTTGCTGGGAATTGAACTCGGGACCTCTGGAAGAACAGCCAGTGCTCTTAACCTCTGAGCCATTCCTCCAGCTCCTTCAAGCCCCCTCTAATGAGAATGTTTTTTTGACAACACTATTTCTTTTTGAGGCCAGCCTGGTCGTAGGGCTACAGAGAGAGACTGTCTCAAAAACAAAAGGTCAAAGCTTGCCCAGTTTTGTCAGTCTGGGATATAAGGAGACTCTGTCCCCAAGCCAATGGTGTGATATTTATTTGCACAAGGATCTTTACTAGCTATAAGAGGTGCTCAGAGCACCTCTTCTTAAATGGTAAGTAACTACTCCTTTGCTTGACTTCAGTTACCTTTTCTTTTTGGTCTGTTGGTAGGATTGAACGAGCCTTGCAAATGCCAGCAGGCATTCTACCATTGAGCTACGTTTTTAGCTCAGGTGTTTTTTGAGACAGTCTTAGAGCCTTAGTATGTCACTCAGCCTGGGCGTGGCCACTCAAGCTGGGCGAGGCCTCACAGGTCCTCTACCTCCACCTCCAGAATTATGCACACTCCCTGCCTTGTCTAGTTGGGATGCCTCTTTGTTTTAAATCCTTTGTTACCATGTGTGTACAGTGTTAGCTTGCCACATTGTGCAAGTTGGGGTCAGAGGATGGTCTGGGGGAGTCAGTTCTCTTCCTCCTGTTATGTGGGTTCCAGGGATCGAACTCAAGTCATCAGGTTTAAGCTTTGCCCATTGAGCTACTTAACAGTGCTTGGGGTCCAGTTTGTTTAAGATTTATATCTGTTTTTTTTTTTTTTTTTTTTAATGTGTGTTGGTGTTTTGCCTGTATGAATTGTGTGTGCCATGTGTATGCATGCCTATGGAGGTCGGAGGTGGGTTTCAAATCCTCTGGGCCTGCAGGTGATCTGAACTATCGTGTGGGTGCTTGGAACTGAACAAGTGCTTTCAACCACTGAGTCCTCTCTCCATCCCCTGTGATGCGTATTTTTAAAGTATAATTTGAATTATCAGGTAGCAAAAAACTAATATGGAACTGTAATTTGCCACAAAAGTAATCTTTTCCAGAGAATAAGGACTTCTTGTTAAGTACCAAATATACATATCACTGTGACTCAACAGTCGTTAGAGCTACAAAATCTTATCATTTAATATTACTCTAAAGTTTATCAGTGAAAAACTGATACTTGAAAACACAGATGGTCTAAAATGATTATGGCTGGAAAAAGGTCTGTTATGACCTGAAAAATAAAGAACACAGTAGTTTAAATTTGTCACAACTTCAGAAAGGATTTGAGTAGGGGTTACGGAATGGCTCAGCAGTTGGCAGAGAACTCAGATCCTGCCTCCCTACCCTGGAATCTGGCAATCCAATTTCTGCAGCTTCTGTTCAGAGGCCCTGACAACCTCTTCTGGCCCTTGTGAGAAAACCCCTCCCCCCCCAACGTCTGGTGTACGTACAGACCAACAGGAACGTACACACGAACAGACAGTGCTTTGGTTGGAAGGCACAGTGGCTCATAAGCATTGCTATCCATTTCATGAAAATGAGGTGACTTCTGTGAAATTGCGACAGGATCTACCAAGAATTTAAAGCCTTTCTACACTGAATTTTATACCTCTAGATATTGTGGTAAAATGCTACCTATATTCCATTCTTAGGTTCTAGGTAATAGAGAAATCTGGGCCAGATTCACCTGGTTAACAACCTCTCCCGTTTCCTCCCTCAGAATGTATTACTACCTGAATGCTTCTATTCCTTTTTTGATCTTCGAAAAGAATTCAAGAAATGTTGTCCTGGCTCTCCTGATCTCGACAAGCTAGACGTCACCGCAATGGCAGAGAGTATCCTTTAAAGTAATTTAAGAATGTTGTACACCCCAACCCCACTCTTTTTTATTTTTGTTTTGGAGATGTATCTTGTTACTGCGTGGAACTCATAATGAATGGATGGAGGCTGCCTTTAAACTTGAAAGGGTCCTCTTGCCTCAGACCTCCTCAGTGCTGGAACTAAAGGTGTTGGCATCGTACCTGGCTCAAGAAAAATGCTTTAAACTTTGTCAGTGTGTGGATGAAGTTGTTTCTGCCCAAAATGTGTCACTATACTGTACCCGAAAGAAGTAATGGTATAAACTATAGACATCTTTCAGATTGACTGAACTTGGGCAGTCACATGATCTTATAAGTTTGTTTATGGTTGCATTTCTGATAATATGTGAATGTACTGTTTGTACATTCTGATAATATGTGAATGTGTACTTGAGCGCACGCACGCGCATGTAGAAGATGCACACATATGTTTGGTACATTAGACCTACAAATCCTAAAGCTGGTTGTGCTTGATTACTTTGGTCTTTAGGTTCTTTACAGTAGATAGGATTTCTTTGTGAAGTACCAGGTGCTCTTTAAACTTCACCTATTTCAAATACGTACCAGTCATACTTATGACTATGATAAGATACTGGGGGCATGATAAAACAGGGAAGATGTAGTGGTACCTACCTTTATTCTCAGCACTCGGGAGGCAGAGGCAGGTGAGTTTAAAGCTACCTAGTGATACGTAGTGAGACTGTCTCAAAAAATTGGAGGAGAGCAGGTTGTTTTGAAATTACTTACAAAGATAATATTTTTATTATTTTATTATTATTAATTTCAAGACAGGGTCTCACTATGTAGTTCTGGCCGTCCTGAAGCTCACTCTGTAGACTTGGCTGGCCTCAAACTCAGAGATTCGACTGTCTCTGCCTCCCAAGTGCTTAGATTTAAAGTGTATGCCACCTGGCTATGAAGATAGTCTATTGAATGCTTCATAATATTGTTAAATTGTTTTAATTGCTTAGACATCTTACGTCATGACCAACCCGTCCTCTTGCATCTCTGAAATCACTTTAACATGCTAGTAAGTTGTCACATGTTACTGTATCAGAAGGGAAGCTGAGAACTGGGTTAGGTTGCTCCTTGAAAGCCATTTTAGGGGTGTCTTGGGGGTGCTGGAGAGATGGCTCAGCACTTAAGAGCTCTTGCTTCAGTTCTCAGTACCCAGTATGTGTGTGGGTGACTCACAACCATTGGCGCCACTCTAGGTTCAGGAGGTATCCATCATATTGGTAAAATCTCTTGCTATATGCGTGGGGTCCTCTGTGTAGGCATTATTTTTCTCAAGTACTTGATGATTCAGAGACATCTTTATAAAACATAGCCCACCCCTCTGTTCTGGCAGTCTTGTAGGCATAGTAAAGGGTGTGCTTTGGTGATGGTTGTTACTGGGGCTGCTTCTTTGCCGCTGTGGTTTAGTAGCTGACCTTCAGGGAGGGCAGCGTGAGGTGCCAGCAGTTTCATCTGCTCTTCCCACGTGGCTCTACTTCTGTAATTGTACGCTGGCAGCTCTTTTTCAGGTGCATGATGGTAAAAATTAAATATTTTTGTCTCTAGTAAACGGATAAATTGTGACTAACTCAAGCTGAACTTCCTACTACATTCGTTATTCTTAGCTCATGGCCAGTTAGCAGTGCATTCTATTAAAAACAAAGACAGGATTTTCTGTTTCTTAAAACGTCACTTGTCTAGAGGCTGGAGGTGCAGCTCACTTGGTAGAATGTGGAATGCTCTGGGTTGGACCACACCTGTAATCCAGTGCGTGGCAAGTAAAGGCAGAGGGCTCAGAGGTTGGCGTTTATCCTGAGTGAGGTAGAAAGTTCAGGCCAGTGTGGGACTGTTTGAGACTCTGCTTTTACACAAAAACAAACTCACTTGAAATGTTTTGATTAATGGTTTTTTTTTCATCTTTAACATTTTAGAAATGCTATTAATTTAGAAATGTTTTCTTAGCAGTGGTTTTTTGTTGTCCATTTCTGCTGTAATCAGTTAATTTTTCTATTCGAAGAAGCAATTTTCCTGAGTAGGCTGCCAAACCAATTTCAGGGGTAGAGGACACTGACTCTGGGTATGGGCTGTGTTCATCTGAGCATGCCTGACCTAAAGAGCTGTGTCCTTTTAAACCACTCAGTACTTTCCTTATTAATATGGAAATGGTCCTGAATTTGGGAACAGGGAGAGAGTCATTAAATGTATTTGATGGTTTTGTCAAATGGAGAGTCTGTCCCGCTAGTTGTGTGCCGTTGTCACACTTTAAAATTTTTTCTTATTCTACAAATAGTTGTATTCTTGTCTTTAACTCTTACTGGTTTTTTGAGCCAGGCTCGTGCAGCCCAAGCTGACCTAGAACTTGCTGTGTCATCAAGGATGATGGAAAACTCCTGCTACTCCTGCCCCCACCTCTTAAAGGCCTGTGTTAGAGGTATGCACCAGCCTGCCCAGCTGGTTTTTTCTTTTTTTAAAACGCAAGTATAGATTTGTGGATTTGTTTGGACCGTCAGTGGCTGTGATGCTGTGATAGGAATATTTCTCCACTTTATGTCCAATGAGAATGTAAGTTTTGGCTACTGGGTTGTTCTGTTTCATTTTGAAGTGGGGACTTGCTGTGTGGTTTATGGGCTTGCTCAGAACCTAGGCAGTGCTTCCGCGTCCACATCTTCCTATCGTGTTCTCAGGTCACATGCAGGAACCATCACACCCAGCCAAAATCTTTTTTTTTTTTTTCTTTTTAAGAATAATTTTCGATCAGAGCAAATTGAGCAGAAAGTACAGATTTTCCGTCAACTCTCCACCCCTCCTTCACCGGACGAGTGCCACATGCGCACGGTTGTTAAAACTGAACCTCCTTTGGCGCATTAACTCAGTTTAGAGTTGGGCATCTGTGCGCTCTTGCACATACGGGATGACCCACCATTGTCACATTGGAGCACTGTAGAACAGTTGTATGTTCTTCAGAACTGACTTTCACGTGTTCTTCCCTCTCTGTGACCACTTTACTGTCGCTGTGCTTTTGACTTTTCCAGAACATCTTGTAGTCAAAATGAAATACCAGTAGTCTCTTCTTTGGCTTTTTAAGCCAACAATGCAGGTCTAAGGTACTTACATATATTTCCATGGCTTGATAATTTACCTCCTGTTTTTATTTGGTTTTGTTTTTCAAGATAGGCTTCCTCTGTAGCTCTGGCTGTCCTGGAACTGGCTCTATAGACCAGACTGTCCTCAAACTCACAGAGATCCACCTGCATCTGCTTCCCAAGTGCTGGGACTGAAGCCACGCGCCACAACTGCCCGGCTAGTTGCTCTCCTTTTAGTGAGGCGTTATTGTCTGCAGACACCACAGTTCATTCGCTCTCCTACTGAAAACATTGTTGAATCCCAGTTGTGACAATAGAGTTGCTTTAAACATCTTTATACATAATTGTGGATAGACATAAATTTTAAATTCATTTGAACTAAGTACCGAGAATTGTGATTACTGGATTGTATAGTACAATAATTACTTTGTGTCTTCATGCAATTTTGTGTTTAACATAGTTTTTTGTTTTGTTTTTGGTAGAGAAATCAGGGACCTTGAGTTTAACAAACCAAAACAAAACTGTCGAACTTCATTGTGTGGTTTTTCAAGGTACTTATAGACGATGAAAAAGATGAGAATACTGTTATTTTCTATGCAAGTGTTTCCTCTCGCCCCAGCCCTGGCCCCAGTGTTGGTCTTTTATGGTGGAAAAGGAAGCCGAAGGTATTGGTGAAGTTTTGTAGCTGGGTCTTGAGACAGATTTGCCTCTGTGGGAGCTGAACTTGCCTGGGTCTAGGTCCCCAGATGACAGCTCTGTGGACTGTATCATGTTGTGTAAATGAAGGATGGCTTCTGTGAGGAAAGGGAGGTTTAGGAGTTTGGTGACTGCAGCTCTGGTTCCTTCAGCACTTCTCCCTTCGTGTTTTTGTGTTTGCTCTGAAGCTGTTTCTAGTCTTGGTTGAGGCTTCCAGAGTAATTCCCACTGCAGGTGTGCTAGCAATTTTTGAGTTACACAATGCCACTGGAAAGGCCTTATCTGTCAGGTGAGCTGTGCATTGCAATGCATTCAGTCAGGTGAGGTGGGGAGAGGATGGTCATAGAGGTGGCGCTTGGGCCTTTTGTTTAAGAAATTAAACTAGCTGTTTTATATTGACATGTTGATCACAGAACCAGTTCTGTAAATGATTTTTATTCATTTGCTAACATAGCTTTTTTAATCCCTGAAATTGAATTGTTTCCTTCTGATTTCTAAACCTTGGTTTTTTGTTGTTTTGTTTTCAAGATAAATGTATGCATGTAGCCCTGGCTGTCCTGGAACTCGATAAGCATACCAGGCTGGCCTCAAACTCACAGGGATCCACCTGTCCCAGCCTCAAGCTGTGCTCCATAATATCTACTTCTGAACCTGTTTTCGCTTCATTTTGTTAATCATGAACTGGTTTATTTTCATCAGCGAAGGCATATAACTATATATTTACTTTTATCACCAAGCCTTTATTAAGGACTTACTTGTGATGGTCTAATACAATGAGCTTGTGAAAGAAAGGACATGCAGGCTAAGGCTTGGTGGTAGAGTGTGTTTGTGTACTTTGGTTTTGTGAGATGTCAAAAGTCTTTCCTGGCGCTTTAGTAGCTCACCGAAAGGGTATATTACCCCACTCTGTAGCCAGAAAAAAACTAAGAAGTAGGCTTTTTGTGGGTTTGTTTTTTGGGTTTGGTTTTTGTTCCAAGACCGTGTTTCTCTGTATGTCCTGGCTGTCCTAGAACTTATTTTGTAGACCAGGATGTCCTCAAACTTATGGACAGATCTGCTTGCCTGTGCCTCCAGAGTGATGGGATTAAAGGCATGCACCACAATGCCCTGCCCGAGAGAGGTTTTTATAATTGAGAGCCTCTACTGCCTGTCAGATACAAATATCCTAATTATTCTGAGAAAGAATTCTCTCTTTTTGAG